AGAGGCAGGCGTTGCTGGTTCTATTCGTTTTTCGTACTATCCTGTTGTTTGGTATTTTGGTTCTTCCAGCACGATTTAGAGTGGTTTAGTGAAAATGTCTGCGAGCTGATGGAACATAGAGATGTCCATCCAGAACCTTCTCTCGGACGAAATGCTGTTGTATGTTCGATGATAAACTGGATTTTTTTACTCCGCTTCCGCACTTGAAAATGCAACTGTCAGCCATGAGAGGGAGGGTTTGTATCCAACGGCGTGCATGTTATAATCGTCCGGACTGACTCCACCAAATCCGAAGATCATTTCAAAGCCAGCCGGGTACTGAAAATCGTGGAGGGTAGCGACATAAAGATAGGAGAGGCCAGGAGTTTAGATATGGATTCAAGGGGGGTCGATCAAGTCCTCAAAGAGCGATCAAAGCCGGGTTCCTGCCACAGAGTTTGCTTCAAGGTGATGCTAGTGGTGCTGCTGGGTTGGGAGCAGAGACAATGGAAGTAAGTGTTGATGAAGAACAGCTAGTTCAACCGGTTAAGGCTGAGGCAGCTGAGAAAGAGCACTGGTATCTATTCCCCGTGACAACCCATGGATCGAGATTGAAAGCCTGGATTAAAGCGGCAACAGTAGGTGACCGGTACAAGCAGGTTCAGCGAGAGCTTTTAATTCGTCAGTATCTGTGTCCAGAGGACTCTGTGAAGGCGAGGGCAGTAGTCTGGAGGGGGTTCCAGCGTTACTCTTGGAAGATGCGGGACAGAAAATCAACAGAGACACGATGACACCTGAAGACGTTTTCCATATGACAAAGGCCATTTATATGGTACTTTCTCATGTGTATGGCGAGCATGGGATTTCGCACAATGATGTTGCACCCTGCAACATCTGCCAAGATGAAAAGGGACGTTACCGACTTATTGACTGGGGATTAGCAAGCCAGCTTCCCGATATTGATCATCCCGCCAATGTACTTGATTGGCTTATTCAGTTACTTGCTTTTTTTCTGGAAGTCAAACTCCAGGAATCCATTTCGATTTAGAAAGCCTGGTGTATGTGGCACTTGACTGTCTTTATGTACCATTGCCATGGGTAAATGTGGCCAGTGGTTCCGATGTGATTAAGATCCGCAGAAGATTTTGGAGCAGCTTGAACTCCCTAGTGTTGAATGCCTTGTATCTACCACTACTCAAAGCATGGCTGGAGCTGGAGATCTGAATACCTTATGATTATAACAATAACGTCTTAACTTGAATACTCACCCTTCCACAAAGATGATTTTCAATCCTGAACTCACGATTGCAGCTCTTCTGATGGCTGGTAAATAGTAGGCAGTCCAAAATCTCATCTAGTTTTTTGGTCATTCGGTGCCTAACTGCAAGCATTTGTGTAGTGTGTAATTCTGTAAGTTTACTTCTTTAAACAGGTACTTTGCTTATTAGAGAGGTGGCACATGGTGCAGGGCAAGGTGATAGGGGGCTGGAAAGCTGGAAAGCCAGGCAAGGTCATCTAGAATATTAAAACACCTCTTATGGTGAATGTATAAAGGAGTATGTTGTGAAAGTTGTCTCAATGTTATGAATTAATGTGTCCAAGGATATCAAGGAAGACCAAAATTACACTTGTAGACAAGCAAAACAATGTCCAAAGCAATCAACCAAAGGTAATTGTTGAAACTTCAAAATGTGAAAGTACAAGCATAGCTATGAGCTGAGAGAATCCATTCTCCGGCAACTTCAAGACCCTTTAGAACTCTAGACTCAATTGAAAATCATATAATATATCACTATGTATTGTATAGCTTTGCAATAATCACTTTGTTTTCTATACTGCAGTAATATGATAGAGCATTCCTAATGTGCACTAGTAGATTAGTTTTTTAAGCTCATAATTCATTTTAAATATCAACCATCCAAGGACTCCAAGATACCTCAAGAGCAATATATGAGATAAATTATCAGCTTGAAGGATCAACTATACATGAATGCCATTCTATGGTTCTCCTTTAAACTTCAAATAAAAAATTATATATAACTCAAATCCAATCTGAGCATACTTGATGATCAACATATTATTGATAGACATAGTAGGTGATAGAGCATTGAGCTTTATCTAAAAGCATTTCACCATAGCCTTGACATTTTGAAAAGAAACATACAATATTAATGTGGATGTTGGTTATATGGGCATGTGTTTGATGTTTGAACATATTGTTGGATCATGAAAATTTATGTTTATGTGAAGTTGTAGGTAGGAGGAAGTTAGTGGAGTCTTAAGAATTTAAATTCCTAGAATGAAAGTATGTTTTCACTAAGATGGAAAAAAATGTTAACTTTTGGGGCTAAAACAATTAAGTTGAATAGAATTTAATGTTGGCATAAAAGAGTGGTTATTGTGTTTTTATAAGTGACCCTTTTGCATTTTTTTAATAGCATTGTATTACTGATAAGTTGCACCTTATATAATGCTAAATTCTATGAGAGTAGTAAGTTCTCATTGATTTTGGCTTAGCATTGGTGGCTTTAGTCCTTAGTTAAAGATAGTGATTTAATTGTTTGTGGTTGAGATGTTATAACTGGTATTATAACTTTATATATTAGAAGGTTATAAGTCCATTTCATGATCTTCACTTTAGTTTTAGCTGGGTGTTTAGCATAGATATGCTTTGAATTATTGGCTAAATGCATTAATGTGTTTAATGCAATTGAGTTATATTTAAGTAATCATTTTGTTTGTACTTGTTTATGTTCCTATATGTTATACCTAAAGTGTTACTTTTCAATTGAACAAGTATATGACTCAATTACATGAGTTTAGCATTTTGGTCTTACAAAGGTGAGTTGAAGAGTGATTATTGATTTCTTTGTGACTGTGGATTATTTGTAAGCTTTGTTAAGGATTGTTGACACTTGTTTCACTCGGAGTTGAGATTGAAGTGAAATGACTTGTTGTTTCCATTGGCATATTAAAATAGTTGAATTTTTCCATATGTGGTGGTTCAAATGGTTGGTGAATAGTTGGGCTCAATGGAGATTAATATTTCATTTCACTAGTTTCAATTAAAACGATATTCATAATTGACTATACTTTTGTATCATTAGCATTTATGTATTTAGTAATTATTAACTATATTCACAAATTGAGTTAATCTTATTCTAGACAAGATTGTTTAGTATAGGTTGAACTTTAGCTTTTCTTTGAAACATGATTTAGTCTTGGACTATGCTAACTTTGCAAAAGAAAAAGTTAATATTGAAATTATTAATTATTTGTTGGAATTATATTGATTATTAATGACTTTTATTGTACTTGTTATGAAGTGAGTTATATCTTGCTATAAACAGTGGATTCCTAGAAGATTAGTTTAATGGTCACTTATTGAGCATATCTTTATTGTGTTTGGCTTTTAAACGAATGTAGAAATGCTCTTTATTAGCTTTGCATTATAAAGTTTAGCTTATGGATATGTTAAGGAGGATATTGTGGTTTAAAGTTGGTTCATACGAAACTTATGATCCTTGTTAGATTAACCTTGGGTATAGACTTTTTCAAATTTTTTGTTCTTTGAATTTCATACTCATTATTCCAATTTCAAAGCAATGATTAAAGCTAAAGAATTGTCTTACCTTTTTGTTAGGAGTTGTTTGGGGAAGATATTTTCCCTCATTAGTTCCGATATTATTGGTGTTTACATTTGGTGATTATTAGTGATGATTAACTATCATCTAAGATACCTGATTATTTTTGTCAAATGTTTTATTTAATTATTGTTGATGTGAATGATTTATTGTTCTTTGGGATGGTAGATTGTTTATTCAATAATGATTATGCATCTTTCCATTAATGGAATGAATAATGATTTTTCATGACGGTTAATTAGTTTTTTAAATGGCTTTTGGCTTTTCGCTTTATCACATGTTCTTTGTGATTTGGTCTTTTGGGTTTGAGATATTGATAGGATGTCCTTCAGTACCTTGTTATACCTCTTACAATTAGACCACATCTTTTTCAAGCCTTAACATTGCTACGAATGCATTTTGGGGAACCTTCACTCTTCCCATTGATTTCATTTGTTTATTGCCTTTAGCCTACATCGAAAAAGTGAATTATGTATTAAGTGGCTTATCTACTTGTTTCTTCAACAGCTTCTTCCTTGTTATGTCTCCTCCTGCAGCATTGGAAGATTTGAAACCTGTACAAAGAGTTGAAAAGAGAGCACAGACCATAGCACTTGGGCCAGCATGTCTTTGCGCAGCAACGACTCTAGACCCAAGGCATGCCTATAGAGAGATCTCACGGTAAGAATACAGAAAATGAAAGAGGTGACACCTAAATTAAACAGTGAACAAATACATTATCTTTGTGAAAAATCGCTGATAGTGGCTCCACAAGCTCCCCATTGATTCTTATATCAAGAATGACAAGATCACTCATGCGATATCTGCATGATTAAACATATGATTCAGTACTAGCTTATGAAGAGCTTTTGATATACCCAGTAATGGAGTACTCCATGCTCACATAGAGACTTCAATTGATCACCGACCATCTACCAAAAGGTTAACCAGCATTCAAGCAGAAGAAAATGCTTGAGAGCACAGTACCTCAGCTAGAGGAAGATCATAAACAATATAGGCACGGTTTTCAGTGATATAACTCATCTGAATTCTCCTCTCTCATCTGAAAGGTGGTATTTTTCTCATATGCAGCTCAAAACATGTATTTGGGCATGCAGGAATACCATGTTGATTTCACAAATGCCCATTGACACAAACCACATGAATATTCCGAGAATATTCCATTGCGGGATTTAATGCCATAATGCTTAAGGGTTAGGAGGTTGGACTAGGGTTCGCTCTCTTGTTCATTTCACCCGTGCAACAGATGTATGCAACACACATTTTGCCTTGGTGATGTCCCTTTGTAAAGGTGGGGTATCTTGCAGTGTCAATTCACTCAGTTGCTGATGCAAGGGTTGGAGATACCATTACAAGTTCGTGTCATTTAAGCGCGCCATTTACAAGCTCTTCTCCCAGTCGCTGCCATGCTGCTCTTGTCCAGGTCTTGGTAGCACACCAGAAGGATCTTTGCAACCTTGGTGTCGATGCAAGCTTCTTCCAGATCGGAGTCGGCTATGGATTCCTGCAAGAAATTGGTAAAATTTTTCTCTAGAGGTATCTTTGCTATTTGTGACTGAACGTATTTCGAGTGCCGAAAGCTGAGGATCCGTCTGTGCTGCTGTTGCTTCTTTTGGCATCACGTAGAGGTTTCCCAGCACGTAGACTGCTGCCTCCTCTTTCACGTCGAAGATGGCTGGTGTGAGCAAATTTACCAGTGAGTGTTCATGCAAGCAGGCCAAAATCTACCTTCAACAACGCTCTATGATTGGTGCGCTCCAACAACACCACCAGTAAGATATCTCTTGAGAAAAGCTTCTAGGATATAGAATGTTACCATGGACAGTGGAGCCAGCAGCAATCACGCCATCACTCATCTTGTTGTCTCCTTTGCACGCTGTGTAACACTACATTTTTGTTTTTGCAGTTACTACGATCCCTACTGCGGCGTCATCGTGTACTTTAGAGTCATAGATGGAGCTTGTGTCGAGGAGAATCAGTAAAATTTATGTCTAGTGGAAAGGTGGGTATTTTTCTCATTCAGAACGTGTATGGGGTATGTCAATTTGCTCAGTTGCTGATGCAAGGGTTGGAGATACCATTACAAGTTCTCCCAGAAAACATGAAAAAGGCGCTTCCTGGATATCATCAGGCAACTCCAATGGTTTTCTGTGTATTGATGCAGATCAGTAAGTCTACTTGTTGCACTAATGATATACCTGAACTCGTCCCGTTTCATCAAGTTTCCCGAGGAAAGTTGGGATTTGGATTTTTCTTGGCCTTATGAGCTGCTCTTTTCTTTTCTTGCCGTGAATGCCGTGAGCTTATCAAACGCTGCTTTGACTCTCGGCGAGCAAAGCACTCTCGAGAATTAGCCAAGGTGTCAAGGGTCAAGGGATCATTGACCAATTACAGCCATCAAATAAAGCGCCCAGACTTTAACCCAGT